ACTTTTCAACAAATATACAATTGTGAAATGAGTATAATCATCAATAAACGTAATGAAATACTGTTCATCCCAGGTTGAAGGAATGATTAATCCACCAATATCACTATGAACGATCTCCAATGGCCTTCTACTTCTTGATTTATTGATATCCTTGAATGGCAGTTTTATTTGTTCTCCTCACAAACATTTTTCACAGAGTTCTGCCCGTTTGCTTTTGAAATTTACAATTCCTCCCACCATGTTAGGAATCACACGTTAAAAGGTAAGACCTCGTTAGTCCTTAGCTCGCACAAGTTTCTCAATTTCCGAGAGTTGTCGTTCGTATGGGGGCGACAACTGATTAACGGAAAAACAGGTTTTAAACAGACAGATGTTGAACCTTACAAGATTATCCAGATTGGACTGACTTACGTGACCCACAGGTTTTCTTCATTATTATACGTCATGTGAGCCATACAACTTTGTTTCAAACGAAAAGTTGTTTCATAAAGATGATCACTTCTACTACCTTTGACAATTAAACCAGATTTGGTGTATTATTTTGCTTCTCCACGTTCAAAAACAATTTTGAATTTCATCATTTCCAGTCGCCTCACAGATAACAAATTCACTCTCAGACCAGGAACAAAAAAAACATGTTTTATTGTTATGTCGAAATTTCTTTATTTCACTTCGACTTGATTTTTGTTGCTGATAATGATTGTCCTGATTCTGCGACTGCATACGAAAATGGTTTCTGTAGTACCTTCGCAACGGAAAAGAATCCGTCATCGTTAATTAGATGATCAATTACTCCTGAATCAATGATAAAAGCTAAGATTTTCTTCTCGCCATGTTTAGTTGTCTTTCTGATGTAAGGAAAGCAATACTGGCCATGGTTTCCTCTGCAGACTCTTCATTTTCTTTGCTCATTTGCTCCGCTTCACTGGAGTTAACAATTCTATGATGTCTCTTCTAATTTTTTAAGTGACCCTGGTATTTGTATTCTTACATTGTATGGCCTCTGACTCCGCATCGATAACACTTGAATTTAAATGGTGAGTTTTGATTAGTGTGAAGTTACCCACAACTTTTCATCCACAGTTTATGACGAAGGACAATCGAACAGGCTTTAGAATGATATTTGCGAATCGTGTTGCCAGATTGCAAATATTAAGAATTTTACCTGCATTTCGATGTTATCATTTTAAAAACACGATATATTATTGAAATGTGTCGAATAAATGAGTCAGCATTCTACATAAACTCATTATATCAGCCAACTGTCCATGTACAAGCATTAATACCAAAAAAAATGTAAAATAAGAGTATAATATTATTCAGGAAAAATTCATTTGTACCGAAACAGGTAGCGTATGGGAATTGGAAAATTGGTTTCTCGGTAAAAATTTTATGACTTGTGACTCAAAAGTATGTCATTTAAAATATCCTGCGCTGAAAATATATATCGACTTCCGTATTTTCGAAACTGAATTTCTATAAAAGTCAAATTTCTCACTTATCAAAAATAGTTTGTTAATGAAAATTTTAGAATATATTCTTCGAAAGTATATCTATCGACGTGCTCAAACAGATTTTCGTACCATATGTTACTTCGGTGCGAAAATAGTTCCGTATTTTCGGAACTGATTTACTCAAAAAAGTCAAATTTCTCATTTATCAAAAATAGTTTCAAATTTATCACTTATCAAAAATAGTTTGTTGATGAAAATTTCAGAATATATTCTTCGGAAGTATATCTATCGACATGCTCAAAGAGATTTGCGGACCATACGTTCCTTCAGTGCGAAAAAAAATAGTTCCTTATATTCGGAACTGAATTACTCAAAAAAGTAAAATTTCTCACTCACCAAAAATAGTTTGTTAATGAAACTTTCAGAATATATTCTTCGAAAGTTTATCTATCGAGGTGCCCAAACAGATTTGCGTACCATACGTTCATTCGGTGCGAAAAAAAATAGTTCCTTATATTCGGAACTGAATTACTCAAAGAAGTAAATTTGACAAATTTGACTTTTTTCAGTAATTCAGTTTCGAATATAAGGAACTATTTTTTATGGCAACCACGCATCATGCACGGGCTTCTAGGAAATGTTATCAGTGCCAGTTTCACTTATGCAGCCAATCGCTATATATCGGTGTTACGTTTATTTCTGAGATTGTTGATATTTTGAGCACGTGAGTAAATTTTGATCTAGCACTTTCACTTCGATTAACTACTATCACAAACCGTTGAAGCTTTCCCTTTTTTGACAGAAACTAGTCATTGCACATTGCCTGATCACACTGTATATACGTATTTTAGTGATATGATGTTTTCTTTGAAATTTACCGAGATAATTCTTATAAAATCAAGCTCGGGGTGAATTGTAACAAACTGCTCGGAGCAAAATGTAACATGTTACTATTTACCCCGCTCAAACAAACATGCAGTTTACTGAAATATCACTTGCTTTTAGGATGAGAACGTGTATGAAAAAAGGCTTTACATGGCTAGACATGGAAAAGGCTTTACACAGAGTTATACACAACAAATAGTCAATTCGCTCAGAGGCAAAAGCTTTAGGTATGTTAAAAAGGCAAACGTTTCGGAGGCTCCTATCAAATTGAACAGTGTTGGCTATCAGCAACACTAGTAGAATATTTGAAAAGTGCTTCAAAAATTTATTTCAGTTTGACTCCCAAGGAAGTTCGTAAATTGGCCTATGAGTGTGCCTTGCATTATGATATTAAAGTTCCAAACTCCTGGAAGGAAAACATGTGTGCTGGACAAGACAAGACAAGACAAGACAAGAACCCACAAGCTTACAAAAAACAACGAATTTCAATAGAGTTAATCTGTCCCTATTTTTTGATAATCTGGCTAATGTTAAAAACAGATACGGTTTTACTGCTTCCCAGATTTGGAATCTCGATGAGACGGGTGTTACTACCGTACAAAAAGTTGGTAAAATTGTCGCCGTAAAAGGAACCAAGCAGGTTGGTGGCATTACTTCAAGTGAGAGAGGGGTACTTGTCACTTTATGTACTGCCGTAAGTGCGATCGAAAATTCTATACCACCTATGTTTCTGTTTCCTAGAAAAAAATTTCACGACCATTTTATTGGAGATGGTTCCCCAGGGTCCATTGGAACAGCTAATTTTAAGAAACAAGAACAAAGAATTTTATAAATTTATGGAGCACTTTGTTGCTCACGTGAAGCCATCAGAAGACAGTCCAGTCCTCTTATTATTGGACAACCATGAGTCCCATTTAGCAATAAAAACCATAAATTATGCAAAAGAAAATTGGGTGGTGATGCTGTCTTTTCCGCCCGCTGCTCTCACCGTTTGCAGCCCCTAGACAGGAGCGTATATGGCCCCTTCAAAAAGTATTTATTTTCTGCTCAAGATAGCTGGATGCGAAGCAACGCCGGAAAGTCGATGACAATTTATGAAGTCCCTTCCTTCGTTCGTGATGTACTACCACTGGCAGCTACTCCTATAAATATAATGAAANGGTTTGTTAATAGCAGTCGTTTGTTTCATATTTGGCTACCAGAGTATAGATGCATATTTTATCATGAGTTTAATCACCATGGTGTAGAACCAATACGTAAGGGTTGAAAAATTACCCTACGATAATCAAGATAAATAATAATGCTATTTATTTCGAAGAGTATTTTACACAAATTTGGATTCAAAATTTTAACTTCGAAAGAAAAAGCAGCTCCGTCAATGAATAAAGTTTTTTTATAGAACAAATGGTGATTATTGAACTGAAAAGTACTGAAGAAGGTGCAATTAGATGCTATGGTGATGTGGCGAATAAATAGTTGTGATTCTACAGTTCCCATTGGGCAAAAAGAAGGCTGGAAAGTTGTAATTTCCGACTCCAAAGCGTGCAAAGACGCAACAGTCGGCAGGCAAGATAATGGTATCAGTATTCTGGGAAGCGCATGGTACAATATTTTTCGATTCTCCTGAAAAAACAAAACCATCAACAGCACAGTGTCATAAATCTATGGAAACGATGGCAAAATTGAATTAATTAGGCTTCGAATTGCTTCCGCATCAACCGTACTCTCCAGATCTGGGCCCTAGTGACTTTTTCCTGTTCTCAGATCTCGAAGGAATGCTCGCTGGAAAGGAATGTAGCGCCAATGAAGAGGTAATCGTCGAAACTGAGGCTTCTCTTGAGACTGAAGGCAAATCGTAATATAAAAATGATATAGAAAAACTGTATGACGGCTATAATCGTTGTATGGCCCTATATATGGCAACTATTACGAATAACGAAACAAATTTTGACAAATAATATTTTTTTCTATGTTAGCCTACGAAACCCGACCCAACCATCAGCTTCTCATAATTTTCTAGAACACTTTTATACCTACTTTACTTCGAGATGATGACTCTGATTAATTTACCGATTGTTCGAACTTTCTGAATGGAACGTGAACCAATTATTTCGTTGGGGTGAATTACTATTTCTATAACTATTGGAAAAAGCGTCAAATATATGACCGTTTCTTGTTGTGTTGCTTCGTCCTCCGAGTAGGAAATGATCCATTACTCAACACCTCTTGGAATCAAATACAGTTGAGCAGATACATTATTCAACACCTTAAAACCATTCACGAAAACACAAATTCATTGCTTTCATATTACTCTTATTCTAGATATACTTCACGAATCAATATTATTTTAAAATATTCGTGAGAAATTGCCATTACTCGCTCGAATGGTGTACGAGTAACTGTCACATTTCCACCTTGTGGGTCTAGATACCCATAAAATCATGAACAATGAACGACTGTGATATATGGCAGATTTTGGAACGTCTGACGTAAAATGAATCTATTGAAAAAGCTTTTGACACTCTAAGATGTCTTACTCATCCCTTGATTATGTCGACTTGCTAAGCGAAACGCTCGTTGAGAGACAGTATTTTTGTTTTGGTGACGGGAAAATGTTTTCAGCGATCCATTTGGTGTACAAATAGTGAAGTAACAAATTGGTATGTTTTAAAAGTATTCTGCTTATTTTATTTGATTTCATCTTCAAAAGTAAATGTACTCGGTAGAGTCAACACTGTATTCTCCTGCTGAATTATCTGTTAAGGGATAGTATCTCGTTTAAATAGAGTGATGTAATAGCACGTTCCAACGTTTTGCATTCCCAGTTTCTCCATTAATTTAATTGACGCTTTATTGGTGATCAGAACATTCGTGTTTGGATTTTCACCTCCCTCCGCTATTTGCTTACTCAACAGTTTCGTGAGAATTGATGCATAACCCTTTTTTCTATGATTCTGTGCCGTTTGAAGCAGTCCTATTTTTCCCACACCAGTTTTCAACACCCAGGACACCAGTTCATTGGTTGATTCAAAAAATAAACCTATTCCTCCATTGTTTTCAATAAAAGCTGTGACATACTCGTCGGACCCTGGAAATGCGTTGGACCAAAATGTGTTCACTATGTTAGAATGGCATTTTTCAAGTTTTGCTGATTTTATGCCAGGAGGATACCTAAAAATAACAACATTAAAAAAGTCATTCATGGTAGGTAACTCCCAGAACTGATTTGATGTTAAATCTGATTATCTTCAAGTGACAATTTCGCAGCTCAGAGTAATAAAAAATAAGTAGAGATGCCCTCCGTATATAAACACAATATAGTCCAGTCATTATAGTAAGTTCACCTCGGAATTCGAGATACCCAGCTGTAAGTCTNCACCAACATCAAAGGGACCGACGCTAAGTGGGACTACTGTATATAAGTATACTGTGACCAGGATATCCATCTCTCTCACAGTAAAATGTGGACAAGGGGACTGAGGAAATTGTTTACATAATCCTCTGGACTGGATCCAGCGGCGTGCGGAAAATATGTTAAGAAAATTCTAATGACTATCAACTATTGTTTCGATCGAAAATTCTGGGTTACGCCCATGCTCCAGTTGTTGTTTATCTGTGAAATATTACATCAACATGCGAGGATTGCGAAAATCCACAAACAACGCAGGTTTTCATCATCTTCAAAATTACTTTTTGCATTACAAATTAATTATATCGATCAGTAAGCACTCAAATCACCAAAATAACTTCCAAAAACGATGAAATACCGGTATTATCTATTTCTGTCAGTTGGAGGACTGTCGTAAATATAAACAAAGTATTTTGGCTTCAGAAACAAGGACAGAAAGGCATCTCTATTTATATCATCACTCTGAGTTTCGCAGTAGGTATAAAATTTTTTGTTTGAAGAAGTCAATTAACATGCATCTTTGTAAATGACGTTTATTGATATTTGAACGAAAAGAGAGAGACACGCAAGCAGCCCATGAAATCATTTCGTAATCATCTGTATTATTATCAATATAATAGTGACCTCTGATTCATCTGCGAGTCATTTGAAAATGAGTTGAATCAAAATGACTCCAAAATTTTTTCTAATATTCAATTCTTACTCTACTTGAAACTTCATGGCATCCTCTTTCGATATGGTATAGATATAATTTATATTAGTTTTTTCAATTTTCAGGGCCTTATCTTCAATTACACGTAATATTGCTGGGTAAAGGCTGCTGGGTAAGGCGTAAAACACCACCTTATGTTCATCGAAATCTATCCTCTTTGTTTTCATTAAAATGTCATAAATTTTTTCGCCACTGGCCGATAGTGTCAAAACTACAACTTGATATCTGTGAGGGAACTGAAAATGAACTGAACTGAAATACTTATTGCTAATGAAAAAACCTATTCACGTACCTGCATTAAAGCAAAGAAAGTACCATCTTGTTTCCAGCTTTCTCCAGAAGACATGAAGGTTATAAAATTTTTTCCTTCATCTATCAGTTTTTTGCCATGCCTTAAAAGACTACTGGCATAAGGAATATTCCCGGATTTCCTGTATATGTCTGCCAACGAGTCTAAATATTCATTGGAAATATCGACCAGAATGTCATCAAGCTTCCCACTCATTTCAACAGTTATTTTTTCTGTTCATCCTGACTAAAATGTTCTACAATGGTATTCGCTCTGTTTTTGTTTACCTTAATGCCTACCATAGAAACATAAGTATCTACCAACTTGTCGAAATGAAGTATGTTGAAAACGTCACTATAGAAACAATCCACTAATTTATATCAAATGAGCGGTGGACATATAAGTGTTAAATGAAATTCTACTTCAATGATAATATTGTAATTTGTTTATTTAGGTTTATGTATGTGAGTTTGACAATGGTTTATTTATTTTACTCACCGTATTGCTGATGTTGTATCTATTAATTCCTAAAGTGATGGTGATTAGAAACAGTTATAGAAAGTACGTCATTGAACATTTTTGAAACAAAGGAGGCGAAATGACAATTGAATGGGTGATTGGAAAAAGGATAATATTCCAGAAATATGGCGAAAAGGTGACAGCCATTTTATGAATACTTCTATTCACCGATATAGGTGAAACTAAGAGACCATTGAATGTGCGCATTGCCGATCTCAAGAAACACACACAGCGAGGGGAAACCAGCAAATCAGAAATAGCAGAGCATGTTTGTACCCATCAACATAACAACAAGTGAGCTCAAGCTGAGGTCATACACAAAGAGTAACATTGGTTTAGGAAAAAATTCAAAGAAGCCGCATACATGTTATCCAACAATGTATTCAGGCAAGCTAGCGTAGAGATACATATGGAAACCCATAATCAAGCGAAAAATGGCCAACTCTCGCCAAACGGTCATCTCCCACTAAACCAATGAAGCAGAAAAAGGAAAGCAGAGATAAGGGAAAGTACTCAAATGACCTATAAATAGTCTCAGATTGAACCAGGCAGCTTCAGTTAGCCTTAATCGTATTTGGGAAATGCGACCTTGCCAAACTGTGCTAATATATGTATGTGTAATATATGTATGTATATTTGCGTTCTCTTTATACCCACTAGTTGTGGGTATAAAGAGAAAGCAGAAGCACTTTTTCGAAAATAGACTGTAAAAGTAAGTTTTGTCAGCATAATTCTTTGTTTTTTAATTTGTTTGGTTTGAATGATATTGGTTTCTTCATATTTACTCTGTTTTACATAGTAAATCCAGCATTTAAATTTCGATTCTGTTAAATCTGATGATACAGTTTGTGAAGACGGAAAGGAAAGTCCATCACTATTAAACACTGACGATGTGTCAGGTCCTCCAGCTATAAATGAGTTTACAGAAACTATTTCTGTAGGCGGATTATTCAAAGTTCACCAGTAACAGGATTATTGAAGGTCTCTGTGATTTCACCCAAATAATTCATACCACCACTCAAAGCTAAGCCCCGATCTAGTAATAGAAAAATGAGAAAAATAGGAAAAGTCAGGACTGCAACCGATACTCCTGAAAAAAATTAAATTATAGAAAGCAAGAAGAAGCATACAGAAACAAAGACTAAAGTAAAAAAAGTAAAATGCACCTTGCTATTAGATAAGAAAGTGAAAAGAAGTGCTCCAAAGAAAAACAGAGTAAAAAATTGACACTGACGAATCTGCTTCTGAGGAAAAAATTGGAAGTGTGCCAGAAGTTAGTGAGACTGTTGTTGGACTACAGTAGGGATGAACTACGATGTCTAACATGCCTTCTTACTGGTCGCTGTCATTTGAATTATCATATGCATAGACTTGGACTGTCGGAAGACAGTGTGTGTCGCCTCTGTTTGGAAAATGATGAAACAGCAGAGCATGTAGGTACTTTGTGCCTGCCCCACTGGGGACCGAATCAGGTTCTTAGAGTTCGGTAGAGCCGTAGTCTTACCATCTGACCGGAAAGACCACTCACCATACAAACTAATCGCCTTCGTTAAGAAGCTTGGTTTATTTGGCCGAGTGTGAATAGGTGTGAGCCACAATAAACCCTTGCGGGTTTCGGTGGAGGGTCGAATATTCCCACTCACTTTAGACCTAACCTAACCTAGTGAGACTGAAATTAGTGACATGGATGTATCTGAAGATGATGAAGAAATGTTAGTTGTGACAGGAAATTCTGGGAAATTGACCCGTGAACCAGTTGAAGATGACTATGTCGTTGTAGTTTTTGACGCAAAAAATATTGATTTTTATTATGTGGGCAAGATTATTGAAGTTGGACAATTAGTTCAACTAATTCAATTATCAACTAGTTCAATTAATTATTGAACAATTCCGACTACGGAGTTTCATTCATGCGGCTAATTAACAAAGAAACTATGAAGTTCCGGATGCCTTTCGAGATTGATTTGGCTAACGTCGAATTGAAGGATATTAAAATGATTCTGCCACAGCCAAAGATTAATGGCCAACAAAACCGGAACTCAACGTTTAGTTTTTCGATCAGAGTTACTCCAACTATTAAGTCACGTTAGGTTCATCAAAATCAGCTGAAAATGCTGACTGTTGTTTTGGCTTGAAGAGCTATGTTTTTTTTTAATTTCCTTTCTGTTTTGAGAAAGTCTGAATATTGCATCTAAGTTTTTATGAGTCTAATTATGTTTTATTACTCTTAATATTTGACTTTTGTTATTAATCTCTAAAAGTTTACTTACAGAATTATTATAATGATAAGNCAGTTGAAATCGATATAAAATATAACAATATAAAACAATAAATAATAAAATAACCGTAAAAAGAAGCAGACACATTTGAGCATTCAAAGGAGTTGTCTCTCTGTAATACTGAATATATCCAGTTCACAGTTCCTCGCCATTTTGTTAACTGTTTCGAGACATTGTTGAAGAGGAGACATTTGAAGGAAGATACGTTGTTGAACTGTACAAACTGTAGAGAGGTGCAAATGTTTGGACATCAAAAACCGTGGCAAAGAAGTAACTCTCAGACACAAACTGAGTTTATTCTGAAATCAATTGCTTTATTCGTTTGTTTGGAAGACTCCCACTTTTTTTTTGTATACCCAAAGTTCATTTTTGACAGTAAGGTGATAAATTAATTGTACATTCAATCTGAAAGAAAGTATCTGCTGTAGTAATTGATTATGTAGGAGAAGAGGGACGATTTGAAGGGTTGGTCTTTTGAGCATATCAACAATGTCATTGAATAATTTTTTTTTCAGACACAGCCTATTGAATCAAACTTTTTCAAGCAGTTACGTATTTTTGAAGACTACCCAACTTCTGTTTCGACTCTCGTAGCATCACACGAGATGAATTCCAGCTTCCAGAGATTAAACGATATCCTGAAATTCCCCCGTTTAGTGAAAAACGAGTGAACCCAGAAATGCGTAGCTATTTTGGGCGACGCATAGGCTTTGTTGATGTCAAGGTAATTTAACCAGTCGTCATAAATAGAAGGCTATGCCTAATGTCTGAGCACGTGGATTTTTACCCGAAATGGGATCATATAAATATGTTTATCGAGAGGGGTTGTGTGACAGACAAATGGGCTAAAACGGAGCACGAGTCGAGAGATCTGCTTCCGTTTCCACAAAGCTGAAAACAGCCTGTTGTCATATGTGCCTTTCTGGCTAATATTTAAAATACGCTTCCTCAGTTAAATTACTCCGCTATTATTGTAAGGGGTGCTTTTTAGGTGTTTTTTTCACCCCATTAAGAGCACGCGACTGAAAATTACGATTTTTTGTTTACGCGCCGGGTAACAAGAATAGAACAGTAATTTCATATTTTATGTACATACAGGAAGTAGTGGAATGGTGAATTATGGTGAACCTATTTTAGTTGCTTTCATCAGAAATACGTATCTCAATGAAATTTTGTATTCAGAGTTAGCTGATTTAAATGTTCTTTTTGTCGAGTATAGGTACGTTCGTTCACGTTGTAAATAAGAAAATTTCAGACCGGGAAGTAATTTCTATTCGGATAATTCTGATTTATGGACACTTTTTATATTTTTTTTTCACGTGACAATCATGAAATGATATATAAACCCTGCTCTCAATTCTATAAAAAACCGATTTCTAATTGAATTCAAAGCATTATATTTTTAGGAGTGACCGCTTTTTGGGAAAGAAAAGTATTGGCTTTCAACTTCTTTATCTTCATGCAATTGATTGTGGAAATCGATTGGTTCCTTTTTTCTTTGGAAGATTCACACAATTTTTGTATGAAGATGGTGAAGTAATATTAATAGTAATAGATAATAAATAGTTTTTGTGATGCAATGTTTGGAAACTTTAGTGTAGTAATGAATATTACTGGAGTTTTTTCCCAACACCAAACCCTTATTTTAACACCTCGACACGTGTTTCGATCACCAAGTGATCATCTTCAAGAGGGAGATCAAACCAATCCTATTTACAAAGTTATCCTGATTTATACCATTATTTTATACTTCTTGGTACCTGCGTGTCAAGTGTCTTAATTTAATTTCACAATGTCTCCTTATGTGATAGTCAGGTATTTTAACAAGCTATATAGTATACTATCAGGTATTGATCCATCATCGTTATTCATAAAATTAATATGTTTATTTATAGGCATCTAGATGTCTTGTTGTTACTTATCATCTGCAAATAAGTTGATGAAGTCACAGTCTGTGAATAATTGAATATCATTCAGATATAGAATGAATAATAGGGGACCAAGCACACTACCTTGTGGCACTCCAGTGTGATTTATTATATATGAAGAGAAATAATCGTTCACACGTACTCTCTGTTTCCTAAAGGATAATTACTTATCCATTCATAAACCATTCCCTCAATCCCATATCTTCTCAGCTTATGAAGCAAAATACTTCTATCAATCGTTTCAGAGGCCATTTTGAAATCTAAACAGACAGCTACAACATATTTACCTCAATCTGTTTCATTAGTAGATTTAGTTAATGATAACTGTAGTGATGTTTCACAAGAATGTTTTTTTCGAAAACCAGATTGATTGATAAACATGATTTGATTTTTGTCAATAAACTATAATGATTGATTATATACTGCTATTTCTAAAACCTTCTCTATTGACGGTAAGGTATTAATAGGTCTAAATTCACTTGCTTTTATAGTGTTAGTAACTTTAGGTATGGTTATAATGGTAGGTTTTATTAATTCAAGCAATTGACCATTCTGAAGCGATGTATTGATTAAATTGAGGATTGCATGACCAGCTGTTTCAAATACTTGCTTTAACAAGTATTCAAGATTTCATGGATAGTCCATTTATTATCCAATGACCCAATTATATCATTCAAATCTCT